TCGAAGTCCCAGATGGCTTTTGCGCTGCACATGTCCACCCCATCAGATACCAAGTTTAAAAGGAAAAGAGAAAGAGGATATCATACGCTTCCGGATAAATCTCATCCAAAAACCCACCCCCATTACTCTTCTCAAATACACCCGTGAATCCCCACGGCTGGTCCCCGAAGGGCTGCACGTCTTGGATCTCGACGAGGAGGACATCTCCTGGCTCTGCGGTCTCGATTTCAAATGGGCCGGAGAGGTAGTGGATCTGAGTGAGATCGACGTTTTTGATGTCGTCGGCGGAATCGTTGTTTTTGATTTGCCCGCCTGTCCAGTCGAGACATTCGATTTTGACTACTTCGTTGTTGGCGATTTTGGCGTATGAGGGAACTATTATTTTGATTTTATTGTTAGTTAGATTGGGGTTATTGTGGGGGGAGACATGGGGGAAAGGTGTAGTACCATCTGGGTGCCATCTGTTCTATAGAGGAGATGAAGGTTAGTGTTACAATTGTGTTACTCCACTATTTATGACTTACGTGGAGGCCAGGCTGCTCCCAAGCTGGCTTGTTCAGATCGACTGAGAGAGCGGTGCGGATCTTCTTGTGGCCCATGGTGAATTCGTGATGATATTGATGATGTTTGTGATACTAATTGATTGATGGATGAATAGGTAGGAAGAGATAAGATGGGACAACTTCCCCTCAGCGAGGGAACCACGCATTAATACTACCAGATAAATCAAACTAAAGCGATGCAACCAACCCCTCAATTCATGGCACCCGAAACTTCCCCTCACGAACTGGTCCAACTTTGTTTATCACCAGACCGAATAGGAATTACGGAATTCCCCCCCCTGCTCCGGTTATCTTATCAGGGCTGACGCGCTTATCAGCGGGGAAAAGGATATGCTTTGATTCCACGGCTGTCTTTTGAGTCTATGATAACGATAATAACCCCGAACCTAAAATATAAGATGCGTGCGTGCATGCATGCATGCACTATGCAGAAAACCTAAGTGTACAGTCTCGGTTTCCATAACCAACTTTTGTACGTTGAATTCTACTCCTCCGAACGACTCATCCCTTGGCTGCTCGCTTACTCGAATTTCCGACCCGGCAACTCGGGCGCCTTGGGCTTTTCCTCTGGAGCCTTGTTCAGCTGGTCAATATTGTCCAGCGACAGGCGCAGCAATTCGTGCTTGTTCTTCCAGGTTACCTGGGTCTCTGCGAAGCCCTCCTTCTCTGACGGGGCCGGCGGGGGGTCCGTGACCTTGGTGACGAGGTATGCTGTGGCGGCTTGGGCAACGCCGTACAGGAGGACTCCGATGAAGGGAGTCTTCAGCACAATTGTAAAGGCAAAGGCGAAGCCGAACAGGACGCCCTGGCGGTCGGCAAACCATCGGTTTCTCTGCTCAGGGGTGAAGGGAACGCGGCTAAAGTAGGGGTCGAGCTAGTTGTCCATTAGGATGGTTTTATCGAAAATGTGGCTGAAGACTTACCATCTCACGCATCAGGGTACGAGAGGCGTAGAAGCTGTGCAGGAAGGAAACAACGTAGCTCTTCGGGAAGATAAAACCGGCTCCGAAGATGACAGCAGCAGGGGTAGTGCCCACAGCATCCTTGAAGGCGAAGAAGGAAGCTGCTGGAGTGGCAAAGCGTCCGACAACAGGCACAAGCGACAAGATGGATACGCCCAGAAGCAGGGCGGCTCTCTGGCCGGACCTCCTAAGGAACACCATGATTCTTTCCTTGGCCGATTTCTTCGGCGCAGTAGACTTGACCTTGCCCTCACCGGCGTTGTACATGGAGAGGTTCGGGTAGTACATGGCACGCAGAGTGCTCGGGTCCTCTGCCTTGTGCTTATCGACATAGGTCGTGTCCACCCATTTCAACGATTCCATGAAGCTAATCAATCAGCACGTGTACACTATGTCAAGGGACTGCTGGCTTACATTTCATCCAATGTCGGAGTAATGTACCGCATCAACGACATGATGAGGAAGGGGACATGTAGGACAGACTTGGAGAGGAAATCGAGACCCTCGATGAGGGAATCGTCCCAAGTGACACTCTCGAGGTCGACAATCCATGAGACGAACCAAAGTCCAATCTTTAGTGCAATGATCTATAACCGCTTTGTCAGTCCCGAAGCTGTCAAGCGGGTAGTTAGAAGATAGTCACATACGGGAATCTGGATGAGGAGCTCGACACCCACACCGACAGCAACAGCAAAGGCAGCCTGCCGAAAGTGATCGTATTTGAAGAGATCGGGGTTCCGCAATGCGCGGACGGCTGTTCAGCTAAGTTAGCAGCGGGTAAAGTAGTACTCGTGCCGTGTTTCCCCAATGAACCATGCGGGTAGCTAGCCAGCCATGGCTGTCGATCATGGAACTAGGGAACTCGGCCGTGCTGAGCCATTGACATTCAGCACCACGCAGACCCCTATAATCCCACATCTGCCGCTCCCCCTTTTACGCAAGGCGAAAGGAGTCGCGCAGCCATTGGCTACTGGGAGTCCAAGAACTCGAGCAGGCAAAAGGGGCCGGACTTACTGGCAACCACCGTCAGCTGAGCACCGCGAATCACGGCGTTATGATCGAAGTTTCCCATGATGCACACCCAAGAGACTCTCGAGTACTTCTGAAGATCAGGGACCGTTTAGCAGAAAGGGAGCATCGTACTATTTATAGTTGTGCGTTGGCTGCCGAGGGGGAAACAGCCACAGGCAACCACATTGCTTAGGGAATGACGCGCGGGTACGATAGCGATCAATTCCGACTGGCTGAGCAGCCGCCAGACGCCAGACCATCAGCCGCCGACCCCACTCTGCGGCGTAGGGCAGGTGACCGGTGCATGACTGCCTCAGGCCACGATCAGTCCCCGCTGGGTTAGACCCGATTGGGGCAATTCCATACTTTTGCCATGAATTTATTGAGTTCGAACCAAGTTGGGAAGGGTCACTCGCTGGGAATTCCCCCGTCCATTATCTCACCACCCCAGCTTCTCGTCTCTCGTTTGACCTCATTCCAACAGCACCCCCCTGCTGATCGTCTTTCCTTATCCCTTCCTATTCGCATTCACTTGCTATCTTTTCCATCTATATCCTACCTAATCCTGTCCCTTATACAGTTTTCAATGTAATCCATCTCCTTTCTCACCTTCCTTAATCCCCATGATCGAGAATGTCTGATACCTCGGATGCGCCACTACCCCAGACCCAATCCCTTCGCCGGTCTGCGACTCTTCCCTCCAAACTTATTACCCGACCCCGGCGGCAATCCGAGTCGCTGAGGCCCTCGGAGAACGATCTCTTCTACCACCCTTCCGCCAAAGTCGTCCATTTTGCCCCTAGAGCGCTCGCCCCGATTCCCTCCAGTACTGCGCCCTCCGACTTCGACTATCCCGTTGATACCGTTGAGACGCTTCCTTGGAGGTCCCCTACTGAACGAACGGTCGCTCTCGGCCCGCTTCGCCTGGAGAATGTCCACGGCCTGACTGTCTTCCTCAAGTGCGGCAATGTCGTCCATGCCATCCTCAAGAACTCGCAATGTTGGTGTGTCGACGGCGAGTCAACCTTTGTCTTGCGCATTCGCCCTCTGACGTACTATCGCATCGAACTCCCCGCCGACACCGACGACAACAGGGTCTTGGTCACGGAGATGAAAAATGTTCTGCCCAGGGTCCTCCGTTACGAAGTGACACCATGCCCCTTCAAGAGAGGTTTCACCGTTGAGATACCAGAGGAGGCTAAAGCGCCCCGGAGGAAGAGGGCATGGCGTCCCAAAGGTCGTCGCGAAAGTGCCCCAATCAGTTCAGTCTACTACCATGGACTGTCCAAGTCGAAGGAGGACCTCACAAAAGACCCAGTCAGTGCCGGGGAAGACACGGATGGCGAGGCAACGGATGACAGCGGCTTTTCGACCAAGGCCAGTAACAGTGCCAGTAACAGTACTATCTTGGAGACTATTCCGGATGACAATGAAACTCCGGAAGCGCCTCAGACATCCGAACAAGTGGATTTGCCCAAGCGCCCAGACCCAGAACCCGAACAGAACTTCCAGACCTTGCTGGCAAGGTTTGAAGACAATCCCAAACAACAGGTTGATCCTGAAACAACGTTTTCATCGAGCGTTGAATCCTTCCACTCCCTTGGACCATCGTTATCTACATTACCCGAACTTGACGCCTGCTCTACGCCTACATCGACCGAGGGTACCGAGCAGTTCCAGTCTGACCACAGTGACACTACTTCGCCGTCTGAAGAACAGCCCTTCCAAGAAACAGAGCGCTCGAGAGACAGACTATCAGTGTATGTCGACTGCTGGGATGACTTGTCGTCGGCATCGCACGATATGCCTGGAGCCTTCCACGAGCGCGAAATGAAGCCGACCCCGACCATAGTCCCTGACGTTCAACGTCCAGTCGCACCCCGCACCGGAAGTACCGACTCGAACCCCAACCTCAGCAGCATGAGCATCGAATTCCGCCGACGCTCCAAAGCATCCCGTGAGCGCGAAGTGTCTCCTATGCCGCCTGCATCGTCTTTGGCAGTTGCAAGACCTGAGAAACACGATGCGGCGTCGCTTATTCATAAAACCGCCACACTGGTCCTGGTTCCCCCAATCCAGCTACTTGTGGTTCTCATCCACATTGCCGCGCGCATTGTCATCGGCCCAGCCTTGGAATCCGCGATGGGGGAACTGAACCGGAAGATCGAGTACGAGGTTGATCATGCCCAGGACACTGTGGATGACTTCGACTTGCCTCTTCCTGACCGATCTGGGGTGTCTGCGGATGAGAACTCCAATTGATTTGCATCAAACCATTTGTCTGGCCATCTACATTCATTCTTCACTTTTTGTACACTGCTGTATTCTGCATCTGATGACACCTGCGATTCCCTCTGATGTCTTTTCTTTCCCCACGATGACGCATTTGTATGATCTCATTGTTTCTGTTTTATTAGTCGGCATCTGTACGGTTGTGGGCGGACTGTCTTTGATTCACCCCGGACAAGCACCATAATTTGATCCCCTGTATTCTAGCGAAGTAGTTAATCTATTGATACTATACCATCAGCTGAAAACCAATCCCATTCAACATATCTACAACATATACATCGAAGCATAATCCCTTGTATCAAATAAAACTGAAGTAGAACAATCCCACAAACGCCCATAATGCATCTATCCATCACACCACCCTTCTCCCCCATCCTCCCCAGCAAACCACTAACAAAATCACCCCTTAACAACCTTTCCCCCCTCCTTCTTTCCCTTCGCCTTCCCCTTCTTCCGATCCCTCTTCTTCAACCCCGTCATACCAGCCTTACACACCTCCGCATACCTCGCATAGAACGCCTCCAGATCGTCCGGGCTCACGACCGTCGAGATCTTCACCTTCGATGCTGCCGATCCCGCCTTCGATACCTTCTTCTTGGCCTCGGCCGTCTTGGGGTTCGGGGCGTTGGTGTTGCCGTCTGTCGCGCGGATGAGGATGGATGGTTGCGACGCAGACTCGGTGGTTGTGTTGAGGAGAGGCTTCTGCGTGAGGTACACGGATCCGCGAGTTTTCTGAGATGTGGTGTTTAGGAGGGTGGTGAGGGAGGTGAAGAACTATAAGTTATTTATCAAGTGTTAGTTTCGTATTAAGTGTGGTGATGTGGTGGTTGTGGGGGAGAGGGAAGTACCTCCTCGTGGCCCAGGTGTGCGGGCATTTTGGCAGTTGTAATGTATTGGTTCAATAGGTTTAAGGCGGGGCGTGTGTAGGATGTAGATGTGACCGTAGTGCTGAGGTTGAATCTCGCAGCTCAATTGGCAGTAAAACGCAAACCAACTATAACTACTCAGCAATAGTAACAGCTGCCAGCCAGCGGAGATAAACGCATCCACCCCCCAAAGTCAGTTTAGGTTGGCTCTCACCGCCTCCGTCCTCCGCCTCCGCGGGACCAATTTTGAATCGGCATTAAAAAAAGTTCAGATCCAACCCCCAATCAACATTAACACTTTTGATCTGGAGAAAATAGGATTCACCATGCGACGTCCTAGACATAATACGACCTCCTTACCGAGGGACCTGCGCGCAGAGCTCGGAATCAGAGATACCTACGGCGAGAAGAAGAATAAGCGCAACGGACCGGCATTGCGGAAAGAGCGCCGTCGAGAAGAACGCTCCGGAAAGAAGCAGCCTCAGCAGCACCACCACCAGCGGGGACCGCCTCCGAAGAAGAGGGGTCGGTATGATGATGACGATGACGATGATGAAGATATGGGGGACTTTGATGGATTTGATTTAGATGAGGGGGATGATGATGAGGATGCCGGTGATGTTATGGCGAAACTTGCTAAGGCGAAAGCGGCGAAGGGGAAGGCTGCCGCTCCTGCTTCTGCTAAGGAGGAGAAGAAGCCGAAGTCTATTTTGAAGAAGGCGAAGGTTGAGGAGAGCTCTGAGGAGGAGGACGATATTGATCTTGATGAGGATGAGGATGAGGACGAGGTGACAATGCGACGCCCGGTATCCAAGACGGTTCAATCGAAGCTCGAGGAGGACGATGCGGAAATTGCTGCGCTGGAGAAGAAACTTGGATTGAAGAAGGGCAAGAAGCTCCCCAAGTCCTTTGAGGAGGATGGTCTCGGTGATCTGCTAGGCGATTTGGATGAGGACTCTGCGGATGAGGGTCGGAAGCGCAAGAGAGAAGCTGATGAGTGGCTACGGAGTAAGCGAAGAAAGGCGCAAGGGTTGGAGGAGCCTGAGGAGGAGGATTCTGAGGAGGAAGATGATAGCGATATGGGAGATGGGCTTGAGGGCTTTGACGACGATGAGTCTATGGGTGATTTCGACGAAGATGAGGAAGAAGGAGAGGAAGAGGAGCCGGCTCCTAAGAAGAAGGAGAATCCCTACGTCGCCCCAGTCAAAGAAACCGAAAGCCGTCCCCAGAAGTACATTCCTCCTTCGCTTCGCGCTGCCTCCAACTCCGAGGATGAGTCTCTCGTTCGCCTACGGAGACAGGCTCAAGGTCACCTGAACAAGCTGTCCGAAGCTAATATGGTCTCTATCCTCGCGGAGTTCGAGAAGCTCTACCGGGATCATCCTCGCCAGAACGTCACTTCGACCTTGATCTCTCTGCTCTTCGGGTTGATCTGCGAGAGATCTGCTCTGTCGGATACTTTCATCATTCTACATGCGGGTTTCATTGCTGCAGTGTACAAGATTGTGGGTACGGACTTTGGCGCAGAAATCGTGCAGAAGATCGTCGAGACCTTCGATGCCCGCGGCGATGAACGGGGCAAGTTTGAAGGAAAGGAGACTATCAACCTGATCTCTCTCCTGTCGCAACTGTACAACTTCCATGTCATCGGAAGCCCCCTTGTCTTCGACTACATTCGGCTCTTCCTAGAAGAAATCAACGAGGAGAACACTGAACTGCTCCTCAAGATCATCCGAAGTACGTTATGCCCATCCCTCCCTTCTCAACCTCATACTAACCACACCAGACTCCGGACCTCAACTCCGACAAGATGACCCCTCCTCCCTCAAAGACATCGTCCTTCTCATCCAACCCGCCGTCGCCAAAGCCGGCGAAGCCGCCCTCTCCGTCCGTACGAAGTTCATGATCGACACCATCACCGACCTCAAAAACAACAAGCTGAAGTCCAACGTGAACGCCAGCATCAGCACCGAACACATCACCAAGATGCGCAAAATTCTCGGTTCTCTCAACAACACACGAGTCATCCGGGCCTCCGAACCCATCAGCATCTCCCGCGCTGATATCCACAACTCCGAGAAGAAGGGCAAATGGTGGCTCGTCGGCGCCAGCTGGCGCGAAGATCCCCTCGAATCTGCCCGGAAGGAACTCAACGGCCTCCCTACGAACAACACCCACGCCGACGTCTCAGACAGCGACTCCGAGCCCGACCTCGTCAACATCGCCAAAGCGCACCGCATGAACACCGACGTCCGCCGCTCCATCTTCGTCGCCATCATGTCCGCAACCGACTACCAAGACGCACACGTGCGCCTCCTCAAACTCCGTCTCAAGCGCGCCCAGGAATTCGAAATCCCCCGCGTCCTGACCCACTGCGCCATGGAAGAAGAAGCCCACAACCCCTACTACACGCTCATCGCGAAGCGCCTCTGTGGCGAAATGGGCCGTCGCATCAAAGTATCCTTCATGTACACGCTATGGAACATCTTCAAACGCATGGGCGAGTCCGGCGACATGGACGATAGCGATGATGACGACGCATTCGACGACGAAGACGACCAGAACAAACTCGAAATGAAATCCATCGTCAACTTGGCGAAGATGTACGGGTCGCTTATTGCAGACGGGACGTTGAATTTGGGTGTGCTCAAGATTCTGAACTTCGCGTACCTGCAGCCGAAGAGCAAGGCCTTTGTGGAATTGCTTTTGATTAGTGTGATTCAGCAGTCGCAGAAGCAGAAGAAAAAGAAGTCGAAGTCGAAATCGAAGGATGAGGATGAGCAGGATGAGAAGGCGCTTCTGGAGATTTTCCTGCGCGCGAGAGAAACGCCGCAGATTGTCAAGGGGTTGATCTTCTTCTTGAGGAAGGTGGTTGCGAAGACGGATATTGTGCCGTCTGGGAAGGAGTTGAAGGTTGTTAAGTGGGGATGTAAGGTTGCGGTGGATGCTTTGAAGGTTGTGGTTAAGGAAGGGGATGCGGAGTGACGATGATGTACATATGTGTTTTGTGCAGTGTGGGTATGGCGTTTTGGTCATGGTGTTGAGGGGGTAAAAGCTTGCATATATAGATTCATTTCTTTTGCATTTCATTCGAGGAATGAATGTTCAGCATGATGTTGAAGTATCGCATTGTTGAGTGTTTGGGTATCAAATAATGTACATGATTGACTGTATGAATAGTCCTATGAGATTAGTTCCCATTCCAATCCCACGTGCCATTTACCTGCACTTTGCATGTGTGAACGGTCCGATTGCGAGAGACCGTCGAGGTCAAGGCCTACTTCTAAAGCAGGGGCAGGCTCTCCTAGATCTACCTCCCAAGCTAGTCCCCGAAAGACTCCGACCACATCGCCCGGTTCAAGGTCAGGGATGTGAGATGCTGCATGCCGGGACTTCTGTTGTCGGGGTGGTCCGAGAAGGAGCACGTTCTTGATCTGGGTTTGGGTCTGAGTATCCGTCTCGTTGGTCTCAGAAGAATCCACGGCGTGGCCCTGCGTGAACGCCAGAGCGCCGCAACTCGGCAGGGTAGATTGACGAGCCCTAGTTATCCGGATAGCTATCGCGTACGTGTCCAGTGAAGGTGGATCCGTTCTACGGTAATTGCTCGGACTCGTTTGTTGCTGTTCCCTTTTTGCGCCCATTTCCAGAATCCAGCTGCGCACTTCCGCCGCCATGCCACCAGGAACATAGTTGTGTGCCGCTGAACGGTGACGGCCGCGCCGCCGGAGAGCACGAGAGGAAGGTGAGAAAGGCGTGGGGATGCCGGTGGGATCGTCGTCCTCCTGAGGGGAAGGGGAGCGAGGCAGGACGAATGCTGGTGTTCGCCGCTGTGAGCTCGGGACTGGAGTTGCGGTCGAGGGTGGTATAGCGGTGTTGACTTGAGTCTGGCTACTTGGGGGTAGTTGCGACGCGGATAGCACGAAACGACGGGGTTGGAGGGAGGAGGGGTTGATGCTTGCTGGTGTTACAGGATGTGGTGTTTCCGCAGGTCGCACTGGTTTCCGGAACTCCGGATCTGGACGTATTTGCTTTGGTGTCTGGAATTGTACCGATAGAGTTGTCTCGTCTGCTGCTGCTACTGGAGGATCCGGGGAGGATGACAGGATCCTGTCGGCGGGTCTCCGTCGTTGAACGGAGGGAGTGTTATCAGCGTCATTATGCCCAGAGACTCGACGCCTCTTCTGACGATCTCTTATAGATCCAAATACTTCATCGAAGGCGGCGTCGAGCTCCCCTGGCTCTGGTGGAGAGCTGCTCTGAAGCTCGCCTTCGTTAGGTGCAGCGTCATCGTCTGGCTGGTCCGAGTCTTCAATGAACTCTTTCGGGCGAGGAGTGGGTACCTGCTCTCTCTCACGTTTTATATAACGTGCAGACGGAGCAGGAGTAGCATATGCAAAGTCATCCTGGTCAATGGAGTCGATCTCTTGAGATGGCCTCGATGAAGCAGGTGTTTGTGAGAGGAAGAACCGCGGGGTTGACGCGAATTGCGGGCCTGCGCTGCGACGGGAGGAGGCACGAAAAGGCGTCTAGACGGATTTAGCTAGAGCTATATGGATATTGACAGGGGAAGCGCGTACAGCTACCGGGGGCATTTAGGATAAGCTAGTGGGGAGGAGCAATTGCGCGACAACATATCGAGACGCGTGAGTAGATAAGTTGATGCATCCACCGTGATATCATTTGACTGATCATTATGCTTCCTTTTTGGGAAAGCGGTCACTTGAGTAGTTGATATCGACTAGTCCCAATATGGTGTTGATCTGCGATATGATCTGCTTTGTCTGATTGGTTGTTCCATATCCCTCACTGTGAGCATCGAGCATCCCAGCATGACCAAGCATTGCGCTTTATCCAGATAGTAACTATGATGAGCTACAGTTTGAGCAGGAACAAGTAATGCTATAGTAATAATATTTATAGTTTCTCAATTTATCCCACAGAACTTTGTGTGTTGTTTCCAACAAATGACAGTCATAAGCCTCATTACTCCATTTAACTACAATAGCCACCCTGCTCCATCACCCAACAGTATGATAATTGCATCACTCTTTTTGCTCGACATTGGTATCCGGGGACACTGATTTCCGTCTGCAAGATCCGTAAGCTTCACTTCATAATTGCATGTGTGTATAGTGGGACACCGACTTATTGAACTCCTCGATCATGCTCGCCATATTCCCCGCACCACTGGATCGTCGGTCTGGATGATCGTTTGCCGAACCCCCAAAGCTCCCTAACAGTGAGTTGATAGCTAACTGCTCATCAGCATCTATTTAATTAAGGGGGATAAGGGTATCAACATACCCATTTGATTCCGGTGGCGTTCCTCTTCCGCAATTTGCTGCTGCAGGGAGCTCCGGCGTCGATCGTGCTTGAGGTGGCCGTACTTCTGAACGAGATCCATATTGATATGTTTGTGTAGTAACTCTCTAGTGATAATTTAGTGATAATTAGGTGAAGAAAGAAGCTAGATTCTGCAGCAATCTGGTGGATAATATCGGGGTTTATAAATGCAGCTGAATCTCCCCCTTTCGACGTCATTACATCATGGGTTCCCCTTGCACCATCATATGATTGCACAAATAATGTGCTCTCCCTCGAGAGAGGGACTAACAGGGACCTATAGATTTGTAAGATAGACCAGCAGATCGCCAAGGGATGCGTCATAGTTAATTGTGTCGCCATCCAGGCATCGACCTATAAAAGACCATATGTTCGGATCTGGGCATTGCTTGGCGTCACCGGCTGTACCAGGCAACCAACTGGCAACTGGTCAGTGCGATTGCCGACGCTGCACGGATGGCCACCTGCAGGTCAAGTTTGAGGTCAATGCTTTTCTGTGACATTTGGCGATCATTCGGAGTGCTGTGGTCAAAAGTACTTGGCAGGGGAGGTGTCTTGTGTTTGTAGTATTGTGATAGTATTAAGCAGCCGTTGTATTCGGGTGGGCATACTTCGCCGGGTCACTCGTCTAGTATAGTAGTGCATCACACAACTGTGTCTCAAGTCACACTGTCTCCAAGTCATTATACACCAATCAAGCCATCTTACTGTACATCTGAACAGCCACAATCTATTTCATCCCCTCCAAGATCGGAATCAAATCCACCAACGACCGAATTACCACCCCCTCCTTCCCCCCACCTTCATCTCGGGGAACATAAACTCCCTTCCACCCCGCATCAACAGCAGCACGATAATCCTTGTCATAGTCGTCGCCCACATGAACACGCACCCAATCACCATCCTCCTCACCAGCCCCTACCAGCCTCCTCGCCTGCCGCTCAGCCACGTCAAAGATCACCGGACTAGGCTTCTCCTCTCCAGCCTGATAACTCGTGATCACGAGATCAATATCATCAACCTTCTCTCCATACTCACCAGTCGAAATACTAGAAGGATCCTCAAATCCCGGTAATTTCAAACTCTCGATTTCCTGATCCGCTCTGCCCTTCCCTACACTCAGCCCCAATGACTGGAGCACAGCAGGCACCCTGTCATCTGAGTTGGAGAGGACTCCCACCACTATCCTCTCGAAAACACCCAGTTTCTGACCAGTGGTTTTGATTTGCCTGAGGCGTTGAAATAACTCGCCCGCGTCGTTGTAGAGCGCGTAGCCTTGTGAACTCGCGAAGCGATCCAATAAACCCTGGATTAGCTCATCTGGTAATTTGGTAGAATTATCTGCCAAGACCTGTTGGAACGTGGTGCGTATAAGCTCCTCCCACCACTGCCTTGGTCCGCCGTATTGGCCGCGGATGGCATCTGCCCGGCCATAGTTCGGCCGGCGGCGGGATTGCGCTTTATAAGCGGATTTGAAGGCTGGTTGAAGGATGGATGGTGTGAGCTCAGGGGATTGTTGAAGTTTGAAGGAGTTAAAGGCGGAAATGTATTGTTCGGGAACGGGTTGGCGCGGATGAAAGATTGTGTTGAATGCGTCTATGGTTAAGAGGAGGGTGCGGGGGCGCATAGTTGGTTCCTGGAAAAGTCGGGAGACTGTTTGGGTTGTGATGTTCTGTGGGATTTCTTATTTTATATGACTGTGAGTTATGCAGGGTGCGACAATATAATGTGTATATGATTGATATCGATTAGTTGTTAGTTAATTCAATCTGTAAAAAACAAAGATGATCGGCCTGAGCAGGAAGGAGCTGTATCGGTGTTTGATAACATCCTGTTATCGAGTCGGTCATGTGACTTCTAACTATAAGAGTAGGGATGTTCTTCATCAGAGGGCCGAAAGAGCAGGAGAAAACGATGATTCATTTATATTTACTATCATAACTCTTGAAATACTTAGACTATGACTCTTCCACGAACTAAGCACTTTGGCAGACAAGGTCATAAAAATACTCCCATCCTTCTTGGAGGAATTATACTTTAACCTTCCATCTCCACTTCCAGTCCAGCAGAGCCCATCGAGACAATATCAGACCAACAAGCCCGACCAAGAGCACGGCCGAGTAAAACCCGATAAGGATCTGAGGTGTGGTCGATTGCAACAAGTCACCTCCGACGGGAACAGTCAATAAAACCCCGAACGAAGCCACGGAGTATAGGGTACCGTAAAACCGACCATACTCTTCAGTCCTGCAGAGCTGGCCAGCACATACAGGAGCAAGGGAGATCCAACCCCCAGATCCGAATCCGAAAATAGCCACCACGGTGTATAGGGTCTTCACATCGTGAGAGCCAACAGGCAGCCAGACCGTTGCCATCATGATAAACGTGAGTAGGACTAGGCAGAGCAGGATGTTGAAACGGCCGATCTTGTCGGCCGCAAATCCGGGAAGGACTCTTCCTACTAAGCCAAAGCAGTTCAGGACTGTGAGCGAGTAAAATTGCACGTCTGTCGGGAAGCCAGCAAAGCGGACGTATGTCGGCAATAGTGCTGCGCAGCCGAAGATGATGAATTCGAAGGAGAAAACTGCCACAGTCAAGAAACAAAGCCGAGGAGATCGAAAGGCCCGGAAGTCGATTGTCGCTTTGCTGTTGCTGCTAGCTGGTAGGCGGCCTTTGACCAGGATGATTGCTGCTGCATAGCATCCCAGAGCTATAAAGGCGATAACGCGGATAGACCACGTCCAACCGTATCTTGAGAACAGGGTCCGTAGGATTACTGGAATGGTAGCACCTCCAGCTGATGATCCGCCCATGCAAATGCCTGATGCTAGGCCGCGTCGTCGGTGGAACCAGTGGCTCAGGACTGAGATTGAGACAGTCGAGACAATGGCCGAAGCAACCCCTCCTAGTATGGAAAGGCACAGGATGAAGTGCCAGTATTTTGTACACTCAGCTAGTAGCATATAGGAGGTGAAGCTGGCTGCAGATCCGCATGTTAATAAGGCTCGAGGACCGTATCGATCGAACAGTGGTCCGACCTGGACTCCAAGAAATAGAGTCAGAAACACGAAAATTGCGGTGATCCAGCCAACATCTCGGATGCTGTATTCGGCAAGCTGGTGCTCGCTAATGTAGTCCTGGACAGTGCCAACTGGGTAATCAAGTCAGCTGTTCGTAGTTATTTGGGTTTTCATGTAAAATGCGGTCATGGAAAGGTTAACGTACCTGCTGCTTCAAATCCAAATGACGGAAACATCAGCAAAAAGGATCCCAAGAGGCACATCCATGCCTCTCGACCCCCTTCGGGGAAGGCCTGGCTGACTCCGGGCCCATCTGCCGGTTGCTCGGTGTCATAGATGCCAGTATGAGATCTTAGTTCAAGCTCTTCGGGAAGCACGGAAGAGTCCTGCCGGGCCGACCGACGCATATTGCATATAAAGTATAAGAGTGATATTGAAACGATGTAAATGCTGCATTCCTCTACACTTGGAGGGCGCTCAGGCTTGAGCCCTTCATTATAAGAGTTGCTTGCGTGTGGGTCTCAAACGAAGGGGGTCGTCACCGGAAGGGCGTGGAGTACATAACTCGGTTCCGATAATGAAGTGACCCATATTAAAAGCCCACACCAGTGCCGACATAAACAGGTCTTGCCCTGCTATGAAAACCAGAAGAACAAGGGTGATATTATGTAGCACAGCAATAATATACAACTTGCTTGTCCTGATTACAAACAGTGACGAGACGGAGGGCCCGAGAGTCTTCGGATTTTGCTGCCGAAACAATAGCGTTACCAGAAGCAGCGTAATATTACATATATGTATGAGGGATCGGCGCGTCAATTTCCCTGAACACCCTTGCAAATCTCTCCCGGAATAACGAGACAGTAATTGACTCGTTGACTAACTATTCCTAGCCATAGATTCGTTGACTACATTCTGTTATCAATGCAAGCGACACTCCTTACTTTCTATGTTAACCAGTCAAGACCATCTTCCCCTCAATGTTGCACTCAAGACATCTCTGCCGGCATTTACATACCGCGGCACGACGAATTCCATTAGCTTATGAACTCCATCAACCACCTACCAGTAACACTTCAACAAGCCATAATGCTACCCCGACCAGTCCAATTCTCTTCCTGCATGGGTTTCTAGGCTCGAAACGTGAAAACAGACATGTTAGCAGGGAAGTATTTCTGCTTTTGTTCTGTCTATATTCGCCCTAACAGTCTCAACAGACTACTCGCTAAAGATCTCTCGCGGCCTGTATATGCTCTGGTATGTACTTTCCTTAGCTGAGTGACGCGAATAGCGATGTATTTCAAGTGGCAACCTGACCCACTAGCCAGGATATGCGGAATCACGGCGAATCCGGTCATCACCCAAAACACGACTATATGGAGATGGCACTGGATGTAAAATACTTCATTGAAAGACACCAGCTTCGATCGCCGACTGTTATTGGGCATTCCATGTATGCATCGACTGTACTCAATCAGCGCTCACTGTTCCGTATAAGATAGTATTAGGTCTAACACGTGGGTTCTCAGGGGCGCCAAAACAGCATTAACCCTATCTCTAGAATCTCCGACCCTAGTTAAGGACGTAGTGGCCATCGACAATTGCCCAATTCGCTTGCCATTGGAGTCAGACTTTGCTCGGTATCTGGAAGGATTGGCGAGATTGGGAGACGAACAGATCACGGACTATTCGCAAGCTGATAGGATCTTGACTCAATATGAAAAGGTAAGATGCCGTGCTTTGTGACGGTAATGGCTCTGCAGCTTTCGACGATAGGGCTAAAAGAGGAATATACAGTCTCCTGCTATACGGGCTTGGCTTATTAGCAATCTTCACAAGAAGTCAGATACACCTTTTCTCCAACTACGTGTGCCCATCGAAACTTTGAGCACAGCCATAAGACCTCTTGGCGAATTTCCTTATCATGTAGATGAGGAGAGTGAAGCCATTAGGCAATTTAATGGTCGCGTGCTCTTTCTGAGAGCTCTTCAGAGCAAATTCATCCCTGACTCAGCACTGCCGCTGATAAAAGCATTCTTTCCGTCATCTGAGATCGTGGATTTCGATTGCGGCCATTGGATTGTTCAGGAGAAGCCCGAGGAGTTCCGTAAAAGTGAGTTGCATACCCTTCGCTTTGTATATTGTTGGGTAGAACTGACATATTTACTCGGGCTATAGTTGTTGGTAGATTTCTCTTGGCGCGGGGTAATTAGCTTGGTCCATCTCCTATTTGTATAGAGGTGCTTCTTTCCGGTTGTTGTCATTCATACGAACATCCCTTCATGCTATTACGGGAATAAATCCTTAGAACCATTACCTCGCACCTTTTATACTAGGTTAAATGGACGAACGAGCTGTGTTTCTCACCTGCAGCATTATGCACCAGCATTCACTTGCTCACCTACAGAAATAGGATCCTTTTGCTAAGTAGCCATGTTTCCATCAATGTTGGCTTTTAGGAGAAATTCCGCAGCTTGCTTTCTTTTCCACCGTATCGTATACCGCGCACAGTCTCCGACACTGTTTGTATCTGCCACTGGATCAAGAGTGTCTCTCTGGAGAGCGATGTCATCATCACCATCTTCAATGAAGTCCTCCTCGATGGATTCTATTCTCCCATCGACAACGTCAAAGATCTTGCAGAATGCACAAAAGTTTCCAATTAGTGGCTTTGACATTATCCAGTCTGATCAAAAGGTGGAAGAGGAAGAGTTACCTGACTACAAAGCACACCGATTCTATCCCGTTCGACTGGGTGAAATATTCCAGAACCGCTATCAAACAGTGGCAAAACTGGGCTTTGGCTCCTCATCAACTATATGGCTGTCCCGCGATTTGATGTATGTTCGAAAGACTCTAATGTTTTTTTACCATTAAACTGACTTGCATAGAAACGGCCAATATGTCGCATTGAAAGTCTATGTGCATACTTCTTCGGTTCACCGCGAACTCCCATTCTATGATCACGCGAAGCAACAGCTACAAACAAGCTCACACCAGGGACGATACAACATTCGCAAGTTATTAGATTCCTTCACTGTTTCCGGTCCAGATGGGACACATACAGTCCTTATCTTCGAGGCCGCGCAGATGAGTCTGCGTGACATGAAGGTAGTGTTCCGACCGGGTGGATTTGATGAGAATCTGGTGAAAGGTGCCATTACCGAGCTTCTACAGGCGGTGGACTTTCTCCATATGCAAGGACAGGTTGTTCACACTGGTAAATTCTTCTTTCCTTCGAGCAAGCAAGCTTTTAAAAGAGTGAACTAAATAACCCCATGATAGATATACATCCTGGAAATCTGCTCCTTGGAGCCTATGATAACCAGTCGCTGAGTGCACTGGAACACGAAGAACTTGTTTCACCAGTACCTCGCAAGCCGGTCTCTCCCACTCGGACTATCTATCTATCACGCCTGATGCGTCCTCAAGTAGGTCCAATGCTGTTGTCTGACTTTGGTGAGACACGGATTGGCCCAGGGCCCCACGGCGGTGATATCATGCCGCTGGAGTATCGGGCACCTGAGACATTGCTCTATATAGGTTGGAGTTACCCTGTCGATATCTGGAGTGTAGGTCTTACGGTAGGTCACAGTTCCTCCTAGCCAGCATGGCACTTTGTGACAGCTTTGTGATAACTGAAATGGACTGCAGGCCTGGGATCTTCTGGAGCCGAGAAATCTTTTCACAGCACGAGATGAAGATGGTGATTTGTATGATGCTGCACATCTAGCACAAATTATTGCTGCACTAGGACCGCCTCCCCTCGAATTTCTAAGAAGGAACCAGAAACGGAGAGGCGACTTTTGGGATTCCGATGGTAAGCAGTATCTACCAGCTGACATTGCAATGTACCGGTCATTCTGTCCCTTTTGCTCCCTACTAATGCCTGCTATATAGGAAAGTGGCTGGGCCTTGCGCCTATACCGCATGACCGGACAATGGAACGGTTAGAATCTCGACTCAGTGATAAGTCTGGCTTTCTACGGTTCATGCGAAAGACTCTTACTTGGCTGCCCGAGGAAAGAGCGACAGCCAAGGAGCTTTTACAGGATCCTTGGTTGAGAGGCTGAGCTAGCTGACAACTACGACTATACTTTTGTTCTACATAGCTGATGACTGAGTGGACTTTGCGATGAACTTCAATTCAAAGTATTGTTGTGTGACAAGACGGAGTCTAATGCGGTGTTCCTTTCACCATTATAAGAGATGCTCCACATTACACATGTTTTCAATACCTTGTAGCCATACCAGTAGAGACAGCCAACTAGTATAATGGTATGGAACTGAGAATTGTGCATTTGTATCAACCTAACAGTGCATGCCTCCTGACATCCGTAGTCCTCAATTCTAACATGAGAACTTCCGTATCTCTAGTAGTCTTCCTAGTAACAGCAATATTAGCCCTTGGTTCACCGTCCCTTTTCTGCCATAATCGTACTTTGGGTGGGCTATATCTAATATCAGGGATTCCAAAAAGCTAAGCTGACCTAACCAGGTGCCCATTGTATTCAACGTTAAGTGGCTAGAGCGGCCCCTCTGGTGAGAAATTAGCGTGGCCCTGGATCGGCGGAAGGTGGAGAGGCCTCCACCGTCCAAAACCCATATATAGGAGTCGCCCGACTCTACTTTGTACCAGAGAGTCTCTTGTTCCTCCTACACAACTTCATCCTCCTCGTCGAGGAACAATCATTCATTCTCTTTCACTCTCTCGACCACCTCTAGTGTCTACTAGTAAGTTGGGTATCATCATCGAGGTCAATAGCACCCCTCCCTGTGCAGCAGATTAACTCAGAACAAATTCAATTTAATAACATCTCACAGCAGGACAGACAACGCGCATCACTGACGCGGCATTGTTTATAGTTGAAAACATGACGCTAGAAAATCAAGACAATTCCAGACCTCGCTCGCGACCGGTCAGCAGAACCAGACGGTTTTTCGAGACAATGGCCATTACATCAGTGACCTCCATAATCGTCGGTACTTTAGAAGATATCTTTCTTGCGCCGGTGGATCCTCGTTCATGGCTTCATTTGATATTATATATCTCTTGTTACACGATGTTTTCTTTCCTGTACGAGAAGGTTAGGCCTATGTAGATACCTATAGATATTTATTTGAAGTGACAGAGTGTCTCCAGTACTCATTAACGACACGGTCAATCGCCTGCACATGAAGCACATGGGTCATGGAGTTATACCCATGTGTTTAAGGCTTCCGATGAGGGGCTTCGAATTCCTGATTCTCGTTTACCCCAGACGTTAAACATTGGTCTGGAGGAGCTGGTCAGATTGGGCTGACCCAACGTGATGTCTCGGATGCCTGGCCCCGATGTTACATTTGAATTGATCTGCGTTCTAGGGCGACGCTAATACCAACACCATCTCCACATGTCAAACCTCCATTCCTTCGTTCATTGGACTGTTGATTCACCGGTGCATCCCGAAATCCTTGATGTAAGAAAACATCGCGCATTTGTGTGCGGTTTGGTGTCCCGTCAGAAGCATCACCCTGATTCGTGAATCCTGTATCATATCATCTGCAGATACTCTCCGACATCCCTAGCCACGATGAAAATATCTCATGAAACCAAATCTGCATACGCTATTCATTCGTTTCTTCTGCTAATATGGTAGCAAAGAGATGTCTATGTGCTCTTTAACCGAGGTACTCAACTAATGGGTTTGGCTTTCCGGACCTGCATAGTGCTTCTCCGGAGTATGGTTTCCGGCATTTCCATTAAGGCACCGGTGTTACGGTCGAAACAGGGTATGTCTTCCTAGGATACAGTTTGCCGCTGAAGACATTGACGAACCCACTGATGATCGTTTCATCCAATCCCTATGACCATCCTCAATTTCGTAATCTGCACGCCAAGCTAACTAACTACGGCATGTGGTATAGTACCTTGTCCCTCGATACTTCATCGTTTAACACAGATGATGAAGAGCTGCGAGATTCTATTATTGCCGCTGCAGTGAGAATGAATTCTTCCTTGGTCATTCTCCCGCTGTCCATGAGAGCTTTGTTCTCCTCGACCTTCACCAAGTCTTCATCATACTTATCTACTTCTCCCACCTTTTGCAATGCGAATGCCTCCAGTTCTTCTGCACAGTCAAATTCCTTCTCTCGCTTTGCCCAGCCATCAGCCCCAAAATGCTGTCGAAGCCTCGTTAAAGGAAAACTGCGGTGGTCGTTGAAGCCGGAGGAAAGGAGTATGTGGAGCCACATGGCTCCAGTTTCTTGCGATCACCTGACGAGGCTAGAAAGCTCTTTCTCTTCGTGGCCTGGAGTTCTTGCCTCTTCTTCCTCTAAGCTCTGTGTGAACTTATCTATATACTCGAAGTACCTTGCAGCGATCTCGGGTGGCTCTTCGCCATTGTAGTCCCAGGCGCTATTTACTGGTCTATCCTGGAGAAGCCACCAGGGTGCTGAGCCAAACAGCTGCGCGGGTCCTATATAGGACCACTCAAGGTATATTACTCCAACAATAGTGAGATCATCCTTACTGCGGACAATCAGATTGGCAAGACCGAGTTCGTCACATATCAACTTGAATTTGCCATGGTCATATCTCGGATGGATCAAGTCTGGTACTAAGGATCTCAGTGCCTTGAAGGCTACATACTTGTTCTGGGCATCGTATTCGCCACAGACTGAATTCGGATGGTGAACAAGCTGTTCCCAGTCCTGACCGATAACTTACTGAAAATATTCTGTCGTTGTGGCAAACCCCTTGGTTCGGTCACCTGGGAGCCATAGATTAGTCGAACTAGCATGAACTCACTGGATGAATGTGTATGTACCGAAAGTGTTCACTCCTCCATTCTGTAGGATATTGTGTGCCTTGAATGTTAGCGGCCGTGACAGTGAATTAGAGCAATGGGCTCCAGTCAGTGCCGGCGGAGGCAGACTGCCCATTTGGTCTAAATCAATCTTGAAAAGCTGAAGCATGATCCCCGCCATCTGTCTATAGATAATTTCAACATCATGGTCGCTGATGTCCTCCCTCATAAGTCGGCTGGGGCGCTCGGCATTATGATCCCGCAGGAGATCAGTAAGACTTACACCGTTACTGAAATCCATTATTCTAAACGGACCGAGACAAAGTGGGTTGCTGGCAGCGGGACCCCACGCGCGGACTCTCGGGACGGGGATGGCAGTCCTATCGCGGATGAGGCCCAGGGCCGTCACCTCCATCGCTACTTTCTCATCGGTGTAGTCGTTACAGATTTTCCCGCGCAAGGGAAACGGACCACCCAAGCAGTATTATCACTGAAGGCCATTTTCAGGCCGGCATTAAATGCGCCATGGTGGATTGCACCCTCGAGGTTCCAAGGAAGTTTGTTGGGATGGAATGTAGACACCCACGGACAGAGACGGCACAATTTGTGGGTCTCGTTCACCTTATCGACCCAGGGCTGTCCCTGCACCTTATGAATAAGGTCGACAAGTGCATTCGTGTCCATTACATGGGTGTAGGCTTTGATGGAAGAGTGAGAGAAATGAGTATGGTGAGGAAGCCGGTCGAGAGGCGCGAAGTGGACAAAGTAAGGTAAAGGGGACTTTGGCCCGTTTCGAAGTCGGGCGGCACGGGGCTCTGTGCCTCAGGCGTCTCCGAGGCAGCTTCTCCATCCAACATATATCCTACCCATCGAAGTGCTACAATTACCGAAAACTCCACTCAATCTTCAAGATAACCAACTGAGAAAAGGCACTCTCGCTTCTTGAAATTGGCTTGGTAATAGATTCCAGAAGACCTAAATTGTAGTCGATTACTAAATACACCTACAACTGAATAGAGATAGAAGCACATAGCTTAATATAGCTTACTCCATAGTATGAGCAAAGTGATATTGCCGAGCGCTTCCCCGAGAGAATACTTAATCGGAAAGTAGAGAGAGTAACATTTGGACCGAAGCATTGCTGTATATGCAACTGCAGGCAGTTTCGAGCAGGACAGATCACAATTAAGGATGGACCACAGTTTACTTGCTTCCCCACAAAAGGTTGGCCATAACAGGCCCCGCAGGTGGAAGACAGGGTCCAAGCGTCAAGCACAACATAGTTAGGTGCACAATATGGCATTCGGTCATCTTCACCTGTTGTTATGCCCTGCCACTACAAGCATACGTGACCCTAGTGTTGAAGCTCAAGTACAGAGTACTTAGCATGAGGGATATAGCATGAAGATGGAATATTTCCATACTCAAGAGATGGGGGGTAAGCTAATTGACACCCATACTATAGGATTATTCCGAAGATAGTAGTAACAGTACTGCGTAGTAATGTCCTTCAAACCATGAAGCTCACTGGTTGTGGATAGTCTCATCATGTTTAGCCCGTCCTGGCTGTGTACTGGTGGCTTGTGTATATATTACCTCGAGCCTGAGGTTGAACAATGACTCGGAGTTAAGACTCGCAATTGAGATTGTACCTTGCCTTGCCGATGATCATTCACGCCCTCGGGCTATAGATATAACTTATGTCCGAGTGATGCTCAACTATGGATCCTTGAAGGCGAACAGCCCAAGCCACCTTCTAAACCCTTACCCGACCCAAGCTTCCCATAATCCACCGTTCGGTAATCCGAAGCTGGCTCACCTCAAAACTCTCGGCGTGGATTGCTTATTCCAGAGGATATATCCGACAAACCCGACCGGCAGAATAATACCCGACAGATACTCCGAGGAACGGAATGGAAGATTTCAGAATAAGATTTAGTTTAAGATACAATTATATGATGGTTTAAGGTCTTACATTCTCACTTCACCACCTTATATCTATAGAATAAAATACGGAGTAAATAATATTAGTGCTTATAAACGGTTTATCTTATTACAACTCTCCAGAGAACAGACAAGACGAGAGTCTAGTACTACGTAACTCCTCGCTTCTAGGCAACCGCATTCGGTAAGGCTGATTTGATTGATTTGACTTGCAAACCAGATCCACACTCTGCCGAACACCAAGCCTTTTTCACTTCCCGGTTGCCACTGCCACTGCCAGTCGGAATTGCTATCGGAGATGCTTTCTCGATAACAAACTCCCTCTCACATGCGCTGCTGCTGTTTTGACCCCGAGCTTTCTTTCCTCATCTGTCTAGATACTTTATCACTATTGGCTCCCCATCCCACCCACACACACACACCCTCGCAGCAAGTTGCAGCATTCCTTAACAGCACTTCTAACCGCCGTGTGTGTGACTCGTCATCCACCACCACTCAACTCACTGAGCTAACTAACCAAAAAACCCACCGCTAGTCGCCGCCTCTGTTGGCTGACGCGGCCCCTTACTGCGGGACTCTCTATATTATGGCCTCCTATCTATCTACCTATCTAATGTAGTTTATCCTGATTCAGCCCCATCACCGGTGCCTAATATTAGCTTTGCGATGGAGCCATAAGTATTAAATCTGCCCGCACCCCCTGATAAGATAAAAATTGTTTTTTCGCTTCTTGGCTCCGGTTCCGCTTTCCATCATCACCAAACACCAAACTCCTACCTCTGTATACAACATGGGTGTTAAACCCCTCCTGCTATCGTCCCTTTTATGGGCCGCTAGCACCACCACCGCCACAGCAGCATCACCATCAACAACACAGAATGCCAACCACATCTTCAACTCCATCCACTCCTCCATGCGACAATGGGGCTCCTCCCTCCAACACAACGGCATGTCATTATTCCTCGCCAGCGTTCCCGCCGGCACACAGTTCTACCACGGTACCTCGATCCCCGACCCCATTAACGGCACGGAGTGGCTTGCCTTCGAGCCGGAACATGCGATGGTGTTCGCGAGGGCGCATATGGGACCCCATCCGGGTGAAGACGACGATGATAAGAAGAGGAAGGAGTTGAGGAAGCGCGATGAAGAAACAGAAGAAGAGAAAAGTTCTGGCTGGTTACATACCTATGTCGCTGCTAAGGATTTGCGACTGCTTTACGCCGATGGCATGTCAGCTGGAAAGACACATAACGGGACGCTTGATTTCGAAGATCGGGTCCTGTTCCGGGATGAAGTAGGCGAGAAAGAGATGATGGGGGATCGCGAACGCGCGAACATGTTCTGTCGCATGGCGAAAGAGGAATGGGATGATCGGCTGGATGGGTTGTTGCGCATGGAGGCTGGGTTTGAGGTTATCCTGTGTGATTTTGCTAGGGATTTGAAGGAGGTCAGGGTGACGCGGACGAAGCCGAGTTACCCGTTTAAGGGACCCGGCGGTGGTGGAAAGGACGACAAGAAGAAGAAGGGGGGGCCTGTAACCAAAGGAGATGGGGCATTATGGTTCAAAGCGATTGCTGCGCGGTATGATGGCATTGGGGGTAACCGGGTGACGCTGAACTATGACAACTTTGTGTCGGCGTATACGTATGGACTGGACCTGTTTCATTCGGTCAATGAGACTTTCACGTTGCCCCGGTTGACGCAGTTTACGTCGCAGCAGCTGGTCCCTATCAGGGAAGCGCTGAATGAGCTGGTGCTGCAACATGAGGCCAAGGAGGCTACACTCAACTGGCAGACCGTCACGGATATGGTGGTGGAGCGGTACGCGCATGACATCCGCTACTTTGCATCGGGCCAGCTGTCGACGGTGGAGGAGATCCACGCGAAGATAGAGAAGGTGCTGGGTCCATTTGTTGACTACGGGGATCGCGATGGGGAAGAAGAGGCTGAGCGCTGCTCCATGCAATTCATTCCGGGCGGGGCGTTCGGTAGTGATGGTGATGCTGGGGTGGCGGCGACGGCCGTGCATGCAGTCACTCGTAGGATATGTGAGACGATGGTCCAGGGCTGGCAGGAGACGGACTACAACACGCTGACTGGGCTTTTCCAAGATCTGATGGAGTACTTGGCCTGGACGACGTGGAAGCAATGCAGCGGGTGCGCCGACCACGAGATCTGCGTGGTGCCCATCTGGCCGATGGGAACTGTAGAAGACTATAACCATCCGCAATGTCGCGATGCAACGAACCCCGAAAGCGAAGGTCAGAGCTATTGGGGCCGCCGGCCTGGCGGCCCTGGAGGTCATCCTCCTCCCTCTGATTCTTCGTCGTCGTCCGGATGGATTCCGAGCTTAGTCTCCTTCCTGCGGTCATTCCTGGGAGTCGCTCTGGGATTGCATTTCTAATGTTGGACAAAGAGGGATAAAGATTTTCCACGATTAAATTTTCTTCATTATTTTCGCATACCATCATCTAATTTGAACTTGATTTGACATCTTACATATGAACTTGAAATTCGGGCAGAGGAAACTCCGCTCAGGGGTGCCCTGCAAAACTAACATTTACCTTAGCAAATAGAAACTGCGTGCAGGAAGAAAAAGAAGCGGAACAGAAAAAGGGTCAAAAAAGCAACGATAACCTACCGAACCTGGTTTTCGGAGGATCGGAATTTGACAATTAAGCTGCCCGAAGAACAGTAGAACGGAAGTTAATTCGTTGCTCGTGCGCGGTTGAAGCTGCTCGAGGCGCCACTTCGATAGTTTGCTGCACGCTTGCATTAAGCGCCTTGTCGATCCCTTCGGTCCAGACACAAACACTTTTGCCTGACACTCTCGCCCTCTCGGCCACGTCCTGATTTTTTAGTACTTTGGGTAGCTAATCACAATTTGTACTCTGAGTATGGCGACTGCTCTATGGTCGGGTTTCAGCTGCGGCGTCCACTATACAGCCACAATGGAGGTAGTTTTGCCAGCTGAAGGCGAAAAGACCGGGTTAGCCATGTCTTGTAGGCCAGGATAGGGTATGTTCACAATACTAGGGTAGGATAGGCATCAACCCAACATCAACACCATCAACTGAGGTAATAATAATGCACAATGCTTCACTTTTTACCCCCCTTCTCCCATTTTGGTAACAGTTGCCTTATGCCTCCCTCCCCCCTCCCCTGAAACTTGTTTGCTACAACGATGCTAAACAACATAGTTTCTTGATGGTGCTCCTGGCACCGGCACTTACGGATGCAGCCCGATTGCATTGCGTGCACGACACGACTCGAGTCTAGCCTATCTAGCCAGGACGATCCAAAAATTAGAGTCCCACCAGCAAGTCGATGGGTCTGGCAGCCCAGTGGATCCCCTTTCCTTGACATTCACGGATCACGTACAAGTGCCGTCCACACTAGTCGATCCTCCGGATCATACACTGTCAGGTACCACTGAGCTTGCAGCCGGTGAGCCACCAAAGACAATAATTTTGGATAATGCGAGCTTGGCACAAGGAACACGGGGGGGAGTGGAGGGGTGGATATGGTGTAATCTGTAATCTCAGTTCGTGGGGAATGCGAGCGAAAAGGAGAAATCGCCTCACGCTGAGCCGTGAGTGTAGATACTGCTCATCCGCATATAAATATGCCCTACTGCTGATCTATCCATCCCTCTCTCTTTTCTCGCAGGTCAAGCAAGTCTCTCTTTAATCTTAATCCTAATCCCTCCGCCTTCTCCCTTCACTCTTTCCTCTTTTGCTTCCCTCGCTTCACGACCACCGCTCCTTTTGTTGTCGTTTAGTTCCATTCCTTCGCTTGTGTTTCAATATGAAGGCTTCGATCCTAACGGCCCTCACTTTGGCCGCTTGCTCCTTCGCGAGCCCCGTCGGCCAGCTTCATGCTCGCGACGGCGAATGTACCTGCCAGCCTAATGGCGGTTCGAGCTCTGGCTCTGGCTCTGGACCTTACCCCGGCTCCGGCTCCGGCTCTGCTCCAGGATCGGGTTCTTACCCCGGCTCTGGCTCTGGATCTGCCCCCGGTGCTGGCTCCTATCCTGGCTCGGGATCGGGATCTGGCTCAGGTCCTGCTCCTGGCTCTGGTGCTGGCTCCTACCCTGGCTCTGGCTCTGGAGCTGCTCCCAGTACTGGCTCCGGTTCCTACCCTGGCTCGGGATCCGGCTCTGCTCCTGGATCTGGGTCTTACCCCGGCTCCGGTTCTGGCTCTTACCCCGGCTCAGGCGCTCCTCCTAGCTCTGGTGCTGGTTCTGCTCCTGGAACTGGCACCGGCTCTGGCTCCTATCCCGGTTCAGGCTCAGGCTCCTACCCTGGTTCTGGCTCTGGCTCGGGATCTCAGCCCTCCGAGGTGTCGACCTACCCTGCCTCCCAGGTCCCGACGCTGCCTGGCTACCAGCCCCAGCCTACGATTACATTGACAACGACCGTTCCCGTCACTGCCTCCTCCGGCTCCCCGGAGTGCACTACAACTGCTCCTGCCGCTCCCGCTGGTCAGCAGACTGGCCAACCCGCTGGCCCCGGTGCTCCTACCGGCCCTGCTGGCCAATCCCCGAGCCCTGCCGCTCCCGCTGGTTCTACCGGTCCTGCCGGACAGCCTGCTGGACCTTCTACACCAGCTGCTCAACCCTCTAGCCCCGCTGGCCCTAGTGGCCCTGCTGGCTCTGCTGGCCCCTCTGGACCGGCCAACTCTGGCTACCCTGGCAGCCCTAGCCCCTCATCTCCTGGGGGTGCTCCCAGCTCTTCGGTCCCCGCTGGATCTCCCTCGCAGACTGCCAGCTGTGAAAACGGTCACTGCCACGGTACCGGCCACCTCCTCCAGGATCTGGGCGTTCAGGCCGATCACCTTCTGACCGTTGTTGGTGATGGCACCGAACAACTGCTTGTCCAGCTTAGCCAGCCCGTTGCGGACCTTCTTTCCAGCCTGGGCCTGACCGGCCTTGCTAAGCCCGTGGGCAAGATCATCAAGGACGCCGGCAGCATTGGCGAGCTGGTTAAGGACCTGGGTGCCCCCGTCGAGCAGCTTCTGGTTGTCACCGGCAAGGACACTGGCTACCTCTTGATTCAACTTGACCAGGACGTTAAGGGCCTCTTCGACAGCATTGGCCTGGACGCATTGGGCGAGCCCGTTGGTGACCTGCTGGGTGCCGTTGGCAGCAGCCTGAAGCGTCGTCAGAACTGGGACTACAACCCTTACGCCAAAAACCCCAACGGTCTCGTTGAGAAACTGGCACCGGTGATTGACTGCATCTTGGTGGTTACCGGCGAGGACGCTAAGGACCTTATCATCAAGCTCAGCAAGCCCGTGGCCGAGGTGTTTAAGGCACTGGGATTGACTGGCCTTGGCGACAGCGTAGGCAAGGTCGTCTCGACGGTCGGCAAAGATGCGGGTGACTTGGTTTCGGATTTGGGTCAGCCCACCGAACAGTTGCTCACTGTGGTTGGCGATGGTGGCAGCAAGCTGGTGATCCAGTTGGCTCCCGATGTTGCAGAGTTGGTTGGGGACTTGGGACTCCCCAAGGTTGGTGAGGCAGTGGGTGAGGTCCTTGGAGCAGTGGGTAACAACGTGTAAGAAGTCTCGACCATTCTTTCTTTTTCTATTTTTCCTTGGTCCTATGAACGGGTGATGGAATTGCATTACATTGCATTTATTTGGATGCGATGGTGTTGAGGCTACATACTAGTACCATATACTATACAAGATGTAATTAGTGTAATTGATAATGATACCTAATCAAGAATATTTTCAGTTGACTTCAACAGCACTATTACTATCCAATATTATCTTCCACATTACTATTAACCCACACATCATACATTTCCCAATATTCTCTTATCCCCCATCCATTCATCCGCCGATACCACTCCGAGGCAACCCTACTTTTCCCCTCTCCCCAAAGGCGTACGTAAGCCGCATTCCACAGCCTCTCATTGCCTTTGCCTTGCCCCGGATGTAAATTGATTCGCCCCACGGGGTTTGACTGCCGATGTGGAGAAGCGAGCCGCCAGACTTGGCAAAGGCAAACCGTCATCCAACTAGAGAGTACTTGACATAATGTGTGAGTGAGTGGTGTGTGAGAGGGAGACTTTCCGGGGGGAAAGCACAAAGTTTCGCCTCCCGCTTCGTTCCCTCCAGCAATGAGATCATGGATGATTGTGGGACGTGGGGAGGCCATTCCCCCCCGCGGGTAAGATTATTCCCGCCGTGCCATTTCCGATTGCCGGTCAGAGTTCTCTATTTAATCCTCCAGTTCTCTCTACTTTTTCTTGCTCTGTTCAGCTTCAAAGTCTTTTCATTTTGTTTCTCATAGACACCTCTCCTCTCTGATTCTCCTTTCTTTACATACCATACTATCGTCATGGCGCAAACTCCGCAAGACCTTAAGATTGCCATTCTGGGCGCAGGTATGTACATCCTTTTTTTTTTCTGCCGCCCTATAATAGGGTTTAGTATAGAGAATACGACAAGATACTAATAGGAGTCTTGTTGTATAGGCATGGGTGGCCTGACCTGCGCTTTGGCTCTGGCCAAGGAAGGCTTCAAGCACATCGACGTTTATGAGAATGCACACGATCTGGGCTTCGTTGGAGCTGGTATCCAACTGGCCCCGAACATGGCCCGCGTGCTGGATCGCCTGGGCGTCTGGAAGCCCATTGAGGCCGAGGCTGTTAACATTACTTCCACTAGCGTTAGAGGTATGTGTTGCATTCCCCTTAAGAATGAAAGATCTACAGTCCTTTCAATGTGAAACATCGAGCTCAACGCTAATAATGAAACCGAACAGTTGGTGCCTCGGACTCGGAATTGGCCCACGTCCCACTGGAATACATCCACGACACCTACGGGTATCCCCACATGGTTGGCCACCGGTCTTCCCTCGCCGGCCACCTGTACCAAGGTTGCCTGCAGCACCCGGAGCAAATCCGCTTCCACTTCGCCACTACCGCCAGCGACACCACCTTCGGTCCTAAGTCCTCCTTCACCGCTACCCCCCGCGACCACCCCGAGCAGGCCTACCGCGTTGAGGCCGATGTCCTCCTCGCCTGTGATGGCATCAAGTCCCAGTCCCGCGTGGCCATGCTCGACCTCCTCGGCATCAAGGCCGGCGTCAAGGACACCCACCAGGCCGCCTACCGTATCATGATCCACAAGGACCAGATCAAGGACGACCCCGAGCTCCTGGAGCTCATGAACGGCAACCGCGTGACTCGCTGGATCGGCGAGAAGCGTCATATCATCGCCTACCCCGTCTCTAACAACACCATCTACAACCTCTCCACCACCCAACCTGACACCCACTTCGCCGCCGCCACCAATGCCACCTACACCACCCGCGGTGACAAGTCCGTCATGTTGGGTGTCTTCGGCGACTTCTGCCCTATGGTCCAGCGTATGCTGAACTACGTCCCCGAGGGTGAAGTCTGCGAGTGGAAGCTGCGTGTCCACGAGCCCCTCCCCACCTGGGTGCACGAGACCGTCGCCCTTGTCGGCGATGCCTGCCACCCTACCCTGCCCCATCTCGCACAGGGTGCCGCCCAGGCCATCGAGGACGGTGGTGTCATCGGTGCTGTCCTCTCCAAGCTCCCCGATACCACCCCGGCTTCTATCCACAAGGCCCTCAAGGTCTATGAGAAGGTGCGCAAGGACCGTGCCTATGCTATCGTCGAGCTGGCCGCCGCTTCCGGCCGTGCTCTTCACCTGGGTGAAGGTGCCGCCAAGGAGGAGCGTGATCGCCAGTTCGCTGCTCTCCGCCAGGGTAAGGGCCCTGTGCCCGACAAGTGGGCGGATGCCGATGTGCAGAAGGAGCTGTATGGTGTTGATGCGACCAAGATCGCGCTGGAGCAGTTCGACGAGCTCTTTGCTTCTGTGTAAGCTTTGGCCTTATACCTTTTTCCTTACATCTTTTCTTTTTTCTTATCGCCTTCACGATTGAACCCGATGTATATTGTATATAGAGCTGATTGGTTGTATTGATGATTGAAGGTCGGGTCGTGAGGCGAAGCTGGCTTGATCAATTGTGTGGAGGAATTGATTGATTGGCCGGATTTAGTGTTCTTTTATCTAGCATTGCAGCCCCTTGCATATACAATGATGATGTTATGATTTGATTGTTATACTTTTTTTTTCTTTATTCGTAGTATACTATCCCTGTTCATGCATGCATCTACGGGGTGAATGCATCCATGATACACCCGTAGTTGTACAAAGACGGAAGTGGCTGGCTGCAGATTTTAGTCTGGTTGGTTTGTTAGTCATGGGTTCGATTTTACCCCGGATTTTCAGCCCCTCCTTTTGGTATGATTTTCAAACCAAAATCAGATCAAACCCGAGGGGTTGGACCCCTTGGTCCTTGCACTCCGGCCAGGCAACAATAATGATTCAAATTTGCCCCTCAAATTCGTGTGGGAGATACGAGTATGCCAACGCTGCATTGTACACACGAGTCAGTATCTGGGGGTTCTATCCCTCCCAGTCTCCACCACTGTGGGGACGCTTATTTCGATAGAAAATCAATCTCAGATTATGCGTGAGCAACTGATCATAGGTAGTTATGAGATGCCTTATGCATAAAAATTAGAGCGCAAGCTTTGGTACCTGACAATATCTGAATCGGGGTTTGGATCAAACCCGCGGGATTAGCAAGGATCCATTCCTGCCTTGATTGATAGGTCCAAAGATTAGGTACCGGACAAAAGGGTCTCGACCCAAATTTGAAGGAGGAAAAATTCTACACTAGTGACGTTATCGCATATTACCGGTTTTACTTAGATCGAGGTATACATCCGCGGAGCAAAGTCTGTTATAATGAACTCAATGAATGTGGCATAGCAAACTTGTGTATAAGCCTCGGAGGTAGAAGTATCCTGGGCAATAAGCTATGGTTAAACTTCTTATCAGATGTTGCTGACAGTGGCAAATCGAAGAATCCAGAACAATTCGAATTGAAAATTACAGCAGATCATTGCTCGGGGAGACTCCCGGCTTGGCGCGCGCCGAGCTGAATCAGCCAGTGACGGAGTGGCTATTGCCGCATCGGGCAACTAGCAGGGCTCCTAGTTGCCTTCCTTCTTCCTTCCTGCGGCGCTTCTTTTTCTGTTTCTTCTTCCTCTCTTCTTCTATCTGCTCGTCCCGTGCTCGTTCTCCCTCTCCAACCAACTCAGTTGGATATGCAGGGTTCTCCTGACGCCAGCAGCGCGTCTGACGAACTCTCACCATCCCAGCCAACTCTCGATTCCGCCCCGTCCGCCAACCGCAACTTGAAGATTGCCATCCCTCGGCTGGCGCCGCCTTCCGTTAAGACCAACCAGCAACGGACGCCACGCGCCTGTGTCGCCTGTCGCGCCAGAAAGACCAAGTGTGATGGTCGTAAACCCGTTTGTCGCCAATGTCGTCGTCTGGATCTCGTCTGCAATTATGCCGGTTCTAAGCGCGAGCGACAACAATTGGAGCTCGAATCCATTCGCAACAAGGTCGTCGCCTACGAATCGCTTCTCAGCGACATCATAACCGACACGCAGCGGACGAGGGCTTCTTCCATTGAGGACATTCTTAATGTGTGTAGTGCCAGCGATGTTACCACTTCGCCTTTCCAGAGTATTAAACGCATTGCCATACTGACCGGTTGCCACCTCCCCGCAGAGACACTTCCAAGCATCTCCAGATGTCTTCGCGGCGCTGCTAGCTGCCAGATCCATATCATATCCTCAACTCTCACCGCGGCCAAAACCGGGGATTTCTTTAAACCGCATGCACATAACATTGGCCACTAAACCAAACAGCACATTTCATCCTCTCACCGAGACCCCTCTAGTACAGGTCAGCAACATCCAATCCTGGACCGACCTTGTCGATAACACCACAGCCAGCCACCTTCTCAGTCTCTTCTTTGCCTGGGAGAACCCAACATGGCGCCTAGTCGACCAGGAGATGTTCATCCGCGACCTGGAGAGCGGGAGTAAGCGATTCTGCTCATCGCTGCTCGTCCACACGCTCTTGTTTTTCGGCTGTGTAAACGCCACTGCAGTCTGATGTCGAGTACTGAACGTCAACCACTAACGTTTCTCGATAGAGCTCTTCCTATCACCTGGGGCGCATCACTGATCGGCGGGAGGAGAAGGCTCTGGGCAAGAAGTTGTACTCTGCCCTGCAGCATCTGTGGCAGTCAGAAAAGGATGATGCTGGCCTTCCCACGGCTCAGTCCAGCATCATGATCGGCCTGCTCTGTTGCACCTTTGGCATTGACCGCTTGGGGACCCGCTATATCATGCATGGCGCCCAGCTCAGTCGGCAGCTGGGGCTTCACTGCGAGTCGGCTCCTTACTTTGCTACTGATGTAGAGGCCGAGGTTGACTCGTTATCCCGGTGTCATAAGTTCGTTGCTTGTGGCGTTTTCGATGTGCAGGCGTAAGTGGCGACCCTCCATGTACGCCGGGCCCTGACTGATGAAGCACAACAGACTCGCGGCACAAGTTTATCGAAAGACACCGGTTTGGGATGAACCGCCTGCTGCGAGCTTCTCGCAAGAAGAGGCCGCGGTGTTGGACGAAGGCGAAGAATGGAGGCCCTACCCT